GGTGACGAGTCTGCTTACAGACAGGAGGTCGAGCAGCTGGCTGCCTGGTGCAGTCTCAACAACCTAGCGCTCAACACGCTCGGAGATGACGAGATGACCGTGGACTTCAGGAGAAACCCTCCTGCACGCCCCCACTCACCATCATGGACAGCACTGTGACAGTCATTCAGTCATTCAGGTTCCTGGGCACCACAATCTCTCAGGACCTGAAGTGGGACACTCACATAGACTCCATTGTTAAAAAGGCCCAGCAGAGGTTGTACTTCCTTCGCCAGCTGAGGAAGTTCAACCTGTCACAGGAGCTGCTGAAACAGTTCTACTCCGCCATCATTGAATCTGTCCTCTGCATTTCTATAACTGTCTGGTTCAGCTCAGCTACCAAATCTGAGCTCAGAAGACTACAGAGGGTAGTCCGGAGTGCTGAGCGAATCATTGGTACAACCCTCCCTTCTCTCCAAGAACTGTACTTATCCAGAGTGAGCAATAGGGCTGGCAGAATCACTCTGGACCCCTCACATCCAGCACACTCCCTCTTTGAACTGTTGCCATCTGGTCGACGCTACAGAGCTCTGAGCAGCAGAATGGCCAGACACAGGAACAGTTTTTTCCCTCAGGCAATCCATCTTATGAACACCTGACAATAACTGTGGAACACACACTATTTATTCACTCATACACTTATTTAAGACAAAGAGAAAATCACTCACTGCTCTTACCTAATTAAAATTTGTAGCTTAAATAAGAAGCAGTGCATATTGAACTCAAAGAGTAAATACTACGCAGTGTTTTATTTTTCCTTTTTATTATTCAGTTCCTAAACTCATGTTAAAATGACATTTTTACGTAATGCTTGAGTAAAACACTATCATTCACTTTCAGAAGTTGCTGTAGGGGTGCTTTCTTATTAGAATCAGAATTAGCTTTATTCACCACTTAAGTGTGCGCAAACACAAGGAATCTGTTGTGGTTTTACAGGAACTCTTGGTACATACATACATACATACATACAAATAACCATATATATA